GGTTGTTTATTCTCTTTCAAACGAGACATAAATGTGACGACATAGTCGATCCCTTATCCACCGCTAAGAATGCCGCAATGTTTCGTTCGTTTTGCAACATGCCACAAATCGTCGAAAAAAACACCACTTCGACGGAAGCTTGCGTAATAAGGGGGTTAAAACAAGAAAACAAATGCCATGTTTAATACATATCGACCTGTTTTACTTGCGAAAGATAACGGCACATGAACTCGTTTCGTGCGACTTCGGAACCCGAAGGAACACACCAACAACGTTGAATTTACCCGCTATCTTCCAAATATGGTATATTAATTTATTCAGTTGTTTATTTAGAGTGACGTCCGCGGTCGAATGCGATTGGCTATCGATGTCAGTGCAAAGGTCATATGAATATTAAAATTAAGTGGGCGGAAGGAAAATTGTATAGGAGACAAGCTGGAGTCTCGTGTGGCGATAGCGATAACACCGGGACGAATGGTCTGGGGTACTATATGTTTGATCTCTGAATATAAATTCAAGATCGGGAAATTGTCATAACATGACCTGGTGGGTGGGGCATCTAGGCCACTGATGTATGAATTTACAGCATGTTGATATATACTGCTGCAGACTCCATAGAATCATTTAACAACATCACGTAAAAAACAGATAATAGTTTCTTTTTGTTTCTGTTTAGCTAAAACTTGGTGTTTCTAAAAATGTCACTGACAGAAAATTGTAAATTCCACCTTAGAACATTTTCAACGTACATACTTCGAGCAATTCACTTCAAACTTTATACCTAGACATTACATCATGGCATACATATGCATATACAATAATTTTGTCATCCAACCAATGATGACTGACTGTTGACCTTTATAGTTCAGCATGTGTTGTTGGATTTTCTTCTAACTTGCCACATCACTTCATAAATTTAACACAAAATGGTCGATTAGTGGTGGCCATACAATTTTTTGTCTTGTCAATGATGCGCCAGTGAATTAGCTCAAATAGTTGTATCACGGCAAATTTGTGTGCGTTAGTGGCATGACATATATCTACCTGAGTGTTTAGTTGGATGGATTGTGGTTCACCCTTGGCGTGTGCAAGCATGATGTGAAAGTTGCCCTGTGATACAGCAAAGAACATTATTGACCAAGCTCATGATATGTGGGCAACATGAGGATCCTTTTGACAACTGTCTCATTGTCACAGAGAAAAGTCTGTCCTGTTGAAATGTACTTGCATGCAAAGCTTCGTCCGAATAATTATAACAGATCCCCCCCTTTGTGCACACTTGTCATTTATTAGAATGTCATAAGAAATGAAGCGTAACTATCTTGAACGATTCTAGCTAAACATAATGTCTATCACTCGTTTGTCTGATATTTTCGGTACGAGTAACAGATGAGCATAGAACCATGGTTGGTTATGTACAAGTAGATTGTGCACTTGTCTCTGAAGGCTGCAGCCTCTGACAGAATTACCAGTGCCTATACCATGCAGATTCCAAGTTAATGGTCTGTAATATACTTTCATTCTCACGGATGGCAGATAGAGGGAATTTGTCTGTGATCAACCCTCACTGATTCATGTGTATAGGTCAACATGTATTCAGTTTTCTGGTGTAAAAGATTAAGGCTTCATCTCAATTTGTGTGTCAGTAGTAATAAGCTTTTAAATGGCTTTGTTCCTGTAGTGGATACCTAAGAGCAGAACATTATGTCAAAGGAGCGTTTTGGGTGCTTGGTGGCACCCCAGTCCAGTATAATGCTGATGGAGTGATGGCATAATCGACTGTTACAGAATCAAGACTTGTGGCTCTGTGAGGCGACACATACGCTGTTCCATATTGAGGGGAGCAAGGGTTATTTTCGTTCAACGTAATTGCAATATTTTTTGGTTCGTACAACTTAAATTGCAAAAGTAAATTCCGTAATTCTGTAATCACAGGCTAGATGTTCAACGTGAATCAATCAAATATTTTTTTCGTACACTGTGAAAATGTGTCATTTTTCTCGGTGCGAACAAAAATTTACATCCAAATAAAAAAAGTCGTAATGAATAATCCAGAGAAATTACTTTTTCGAAACTATAAAACGACTAGATAACACAATTCACTGAAAAATTCAATTTTCACTGTAAACTGTAAAAACGTCTTTTTTTCTTGTAATATTTCCTGTGAACCTGTACCAGCTACCCCTGTTGCCCCCCCCCCTCCATATTGGACAGTTGCCAGACCATTTCTGTAAATAAGCTCGAAGATGTCCTGCTCTATCAGGGTGCCAAACCTTCTCTAAAAATGGAACATTTGCTTGATCAGTTGGACAGAAATGAGAACACAATATCCATTATTACATGATTTGGCATACTTGCATTTGTAAGATTGCTCTTTCATTAACAGAATTTGACTTACCAGACTTACAACCAACTTTCTTTACCCATGATTGACACAGCTTTCGATTTATTTGTGCAGGAAGCCGGTGCCTTGGATCAGACAACTGATTAAACTGGGGCATTCATTTCACCGTCAAACAATCTTGGCACACTGAAGTTCACATGAGAAAGTAATCTAATGACAAATCCTCTTATTGGTTTTTGCACATAGCTGTACAAGTTCTCGCAGTATGATGGCATAGCTGTGTATAGTCAACACATAAAACACCATCATTAATTGACCTAAGTCCATATAAAAGTGACACCATGAGCTTCAAACCACCTTTGAACAGCACTTCAAAAGGGCATAATGCATTTGGTGCAATTTTCAAATGAAACAGCTGCTTGGAGTTCGTTAAATCAGATTTCAGCATTGAATACTGGTGGTGATGCAGGTTTTGGTTTGTTCAAAATATTTGCAGAATATTTTGTATCGATTCTTCCCCATTTGGCAGACTGCAT